TTCGTTTGAATTAGATAAATTCTGAAAGTACCTATTACTCTGTTTGAAATAATTAATTTTGCACTTGACATATAATTATTGTTATAGGATTGACTTCTGGGCTGGAAGTTTCGGAAATTTTTCCCTGTGACGGTTATCTGTCGCTATTATAATCAATATTGCAAAGGGATAAGGTTCATTATCAATTATTCAAACCTAGACGTTGATTCGTTTCATCTAAGAATTATGTCTAAAAAGCAACATACCGGCCGAACGTATAACCTCCTCCTTTTTTGAAGTCGGTTAAAAATATGTATCTATTTTTTCCAACACCCAATTGACGGACGAAATAGATTTTGATTTTCCATACCCGTTATCATCCCTATTGCAACCAGTCGACAAACAAGCCCTCAAATTCATTATCTGTCATTAAAAGTAATAAGTCCTGGGTCCTATCGGCCCATTATAATATCCTCATTTTCTGAAAGATTTCAATTTATAAAGAATGTAATGAACTGACAGGGGACCGAGAGGGCAGTAATAAAATTAGACCAAAAGCTTAAAAGGCTTTTTAAAACCCTTTCGAAGAATTTCTAAAGTATCCAGTCGGGTAAGAACTTATGTAGGTACCTACTAAGTAATTTTTTGAGATGATCTAGTCGGAAACGAGATTATTATTTTAAACTAGGTTTTCTTCTGCATCTTAGCCCACGTGGTCAATGGAATCGGTAAAAAATATATAAAAATAAACGTCAAGAAAAACCAAAATTAAACTGTCAAACACCAAGCGGTCACCGGTGACCGCAACCTATTGTTCTATAATTGTGTCTACAAAACCAGTACTCGACGAGTTAAAACTTTTTCGAAACTAAAAATTATTTAAAAAATTACATATGCGTGTGTTATATTTATATATCTATGGTGTATGTACATAATTGTGATTGAGTGTGGGACGGTGTGAACTGAGTATGTGACAGTATGAGTGTGTGTTTGAGTAAATACTATTGTTAATACAAAATGTAATAAATAAGTGAAAATAGACCTTCCTTTAAATACAGACTCAATAAAAACTTCACAACATTAACAAAAAAGACACTAAAAAAGGCAACAAAAAATCTTTTATCTCTTCATTGTTAATTCGTTTAATGTTATAAAACTCTCTTCGGCCATACTCGGCAAGTCCATTATAAATTATAATAATCTTTTCTCCTTCACCAACTTTTGGTCCTCGATTTTGTTCGTTAAGAAACCGATTCTATTTTTAGAACATCGTTTGGTCTAAACGATTTCCTTCGATTCTAATATCAGACCAAACTTTCCATTGAGTTTTTTCTTCGACTTTCCACGTGTCTTGGATTATTCTTACTGGTGATATTGATTTTGTAACAAACTTTTTATCTCTGAAGGAATTAGGTGCAATGTGCATAAAAGTGAGTCTCGGGTTTTTTTTTTAAGCGTGGAAAATCATCGAATGACTGCTCCCGCCTTGGTGAGGCGGGAGGGAGTGTCAGACTCTTACTGACTAAAAACCACCCCGTTCCTTCTCCTGCACGTCGAGCTGGAGCCCCGGTTACCCGTTAGGTTGTCCGCGACAGAGGGTGTTCGCAATATGCCTTGCACTGCTGGAAATTTTCGAAAACTATAAAATACGTTGGCCAACTTGGGAATTAAAGTCCTGTTATGAGGTTAGATAGGCCATCATACCTCTTACCAAAAAAAAAATTTCAACTGACTTTAAAAAGAAAAAAATTGTGGCTCTCAATTTAACCTCTATGACGTATGTATGTATGTATGTTTGTGCACGATTATCGTGCGATTGACTGAACCGAATTTGGTGCGGATTTCAGAAAAGTGTTCGGTTCACTTGAAAGAAGGATTTAGTATATAAATAATCGACTTCGAAAAAAGACGGGATTGAAGTATGTTTTTTAAACGTAAAATAAAAGAAATATTTAATGAGGCGACGTTTGGCCGCTATCTCGCCATTCGACTAACGAGACATTTAGTGACTATGTTCTTACTCTATACTTTTCTTTCAGACTCTGAGATTCATAGTTACATGCACAGTAGTAAATTAAACTGTTAAACACCGCGAGGACATCGGTGACCACAACCTATTGTTCTTTAATTGTGTCTATAATGACGGTACTCAAAGGGTCAAAACAAATAGAAGTATAAAATATAAAAAAGTAATAATTATATTATCAATTTGTCTGATTAGACAATTTTTCCCTATGAAAAAAACGAACTAAAACATATATAACCTAATAACCTAAACATATAGTGCCTACCTTCATGAGAGACTGAGAAAGCAGAGACTACGGAACACCATTTGTTGCAATCCTTACGTACCCATTTCGCTTAAACTAAGGTATCCTTGATCTATATATTATTATAGCCATAATTACTTATCCAATGAATAAAAAAAAACAAATAAAACACTTAGCTAAAGCAATTTGTACGCAAGAAAAAGCAACAAAGTAAATTAACGAACAAACAAAATACTTCATTTAAGAAGAAAATTTTCTCTCAACTGTAACTATAAGGAGCAAGGTCACTCAATATCCTAAGTGTCACGGACAGACCTACGAAATAAATTGATGTCCAGCCAACAAGTGGCTCCAGGGGGCACTCTAGGGGTGCTGGGGGTGTGGTAGGGGGCCTGGGGGTTCCAAACCATTGCCTCCTTGTGTATTCGATGGAAAACTTATTTTTGCAACGAACGCGCGATTGAGTTAACATATTGCGGTATCGGGACGCCTGTTTATTTTTGGATCATATTTTTTTCGGGATCATTGTGGGAATATTGTATCTTCGTGCTTGTACTCGTAAGTGGGAGTTGGAACTGGATGTCGTTGTGGATAGATGTGCTTTAGAAGTTTAGGTAACATTCGTGAAATTCACGTTGTGATTTATAAAATGTTTTTTTTTGTATTTCTGATGCAACAAACATGCCTAAAGATAACATAAC